TCCGGAAGCTATATACAGCCCTAGTCAGGACTTTGAATTTGCTTCCCATCCTGAGTCTGGGGCTGTAGGCAGGTTCCATCACTGGTACAACTCATTGACTGGGTGCTCAAATCAGGTAGGACTGCTCATCAATCTTCCTGGCCAGTGTCACCAGTTCAGCTCTGCAGGAGGCAGAGCCACTGTTGGGCTTTCTGCGTGGCTGCAGGCAGGGCTGTAGGGTGGTCTACAGCCTCCCAGAAGCTCTCAGTAGGCTTCTTGGTTTGGCAGGACTGAGGGATATACTCAACAGTAGGTGGGGGCCATGAATTTGCCTCCCTGACTGGGTAAGTTTGCAGTAGACTCCAGGGTCCGCATGGCTTATTGACTAGGGACACAAACATACAGAATTTGCCCTGAGCTCCCTGGTTAGATGGCGCTACTAACTGGGCTCTGAAGATGGATAGAGACACTGGCTGGGTTCTCTGCTCAAGTGCTACTATGAGTGGGAACATAGGATGGGGACTCAGCTTCCTGGATGCTCTAGTTAGGCTTCTTGGTTGGGGAAAGCTGGGGGCTATATTCAACAGTAGTTAGGACTTCTATTAATAATTAGCTTCCCTGCCTGAATAGAATGGCAGAATAGCTTGGTAGAATTGTACACTGAGTTCCCTATCCAGAGGGTCCAACCAGCCTGGCTCTGCAGATGGGCAAGCCTCTGCTAGGGTATTTTCTTGGGCACCACTGCTAGGAGAAACACAGTCTGCCAAGATCTGAGTTCTGTTTGCAATAAGCCCTGTTACCCTTCTCCAGCTCAATCTGATCTCCAGTGATTAAGTCCCACAGATTCTCCCTATAATACCTGTGAGACAAGACCCACATGGGCCTCCCAGCAAGCAAACCACAATGATAGGGGAGCTAGATTTCCACCTTGGGCTCTCTTCTTCCCGCTGGAGAAACCATAAGCACTGGTGGCCCTCGGCATAGTTCTGTGCCAGCCTAGGAGAGGAGCAACAAGGTCAGAATGCAGCTAATCCTTTCACCCTTCTGATGCAGTAATTCTTGATCTCTGTGGTCCAGGGAGGTGCTTCAGCCTCACCAATGTATTCTGGGATTTTCACAGAAGTGTCTTGTCTATGTATATTTGCAAGTTGGTCTTGGGAGGGGAACTGAAGCTGGGGTTAACCTATCTTAGTTGCCATATTGATGACATAAGTTTTAAAAATAATTTTATTTATTTTATTTTTGGCTGTGCTGGATCTTCACTGTTGCATGGGCTTTTCTCTAGTTGCTGATAGCAGGGGCTACTCTCTAGTTGTGGTATGCGTGCTTCTCATTGCAGTGGCTTGTCTTGTTGCAGAGCACAGGCTCTAGGGCACATGGGCTTCAGTAGTTACAGCATGTGGGCTCAGTAATTGTGGCTCCTGGGCTCTAGAACACAGGCTCAATAGTTAGGGCACATGGGCTTAGTTGTTCTGTGGCAAGTGGGATCTTCCTGGGTCAGGGATCAAACCTGTGTCTCCTGTATTGGCAGGTGGATTCTCTGCCACTGAGCCACCAGGGAAACCCTGATGATACCACTTTTATCTCTGTTTCAATATAAATGTAATTTGTAGTAAAGTAATTATAAATTCAAGTTAAAGAAAAAATAAAATGCAAGTTGGTCCATATCATTCCTGAACTTATAACCCCTTGAAGGCTTATATTTTAACTCTCTCAGGCACTGCGTGTCCCAGTAAGGCATTCATTTAACAACCTAGTTTGCACTAGTGCTGCTGTCTGAGTTATGACACAAATAGCTGACAGCAGACCTGAAGTAAGTTTTACCAAACAGCTGACCAACATCAATGGTCCAAAAACACTGGAAAATGTACCTTTTCCCTTGTGCAAACTCCAGTATACATCTTTTTAAAAATATAGAGATCGTCAGTCCAGGTTTGATGCGTGAGACAGGGTGCTCAGGGCTGGTGCACTGGGATGACCCTGGGGAATGGGATGACCCTGGGGAATGGGATGAGGAGGGAGGTAGGAGGGAGGTTCTGGATGGGGAACGCGTGTGCCTGTGGCTGATTCATGTCGATGTATGGCAAAAACCACTACAATATTGTAAAGTAATAAGCCTCCAATTAAAATAAATAAATTTAAAAAATAGAGAAATCAGCGAAACCCTTGAAATCCAGAGATTTAATAGAAGTCTGGGTAAGATTTTGGTATCAATGGAATTTATCTGAAATTTCCCATCAGTAAGTATCCCCTTTCTAATGTTCTTCTGAGCTCTTGACATTGATTGCATGTCTCAATTGGCCCTTTTCCTTATAACTTATGGAAAAATTGATCTGGCTAAGGTGATGGATGGAGTCAAAGCTGTTACAGATGAGGGAGAAGTCAATATAAACCCAGCATCCTAGTTTTTATAGTAATTGCATTTTCTTCAGGCCTTAATTAACTGTATGATAATTCTGTCATTTAGCTTCTATTTAGTGTTTTTATGTCCAGGAGTATTTTCTTATGTATTTTCCACTATACACTTCATTTCTCTTACTTTGAGACAGCCAAAATCTGTAATAAAAAGTGAAATGGATCTTTAGAAAAGACCCTGGTAACTTTCCAAAGGAAAGGTGATAGGTTGTACATATTGATAGAATTGTTTAGGATAAGCCATATACAGTTTGCTAATTGACAAGAGGGATATAATATCCATTTATTGTCATTGTCCTTTTGCATGTGTTAGTACAGGCCCCCCAAGAAAGCAAAAGCCAAGACAGAATTAAACATTCATGGACATTATTAGAGGGAAAGCCTATGTAAGAGAAATAGGGAGGTAACCTAAAAAGCCTAGAGGCTCTCAGACTGTAATGCAAATGTGACACCAAAAGAGAGGAAGGAAGAAAAAGTTGAGTGGAAGTATCCTATATTGCCATGCAATCTAAGGAAAGTCTGACAAAGTCTTCAAGGAATCCTGTGGCCAAAGTCGGCCATTCCCTATCCCCCGGGAATAGGCCTCCCTGAGCGCAGCATTCAGTCACTGGTTAAGAGAAACCTGTTGGAGACATGGCCTTAGTACAAAGACAGGGATGAATTCCAAAGCAGCAGCTGGGGCTCTTGGTCAATTATGTTCTCTGTAGTTGGAAGTCCTAAAGGCACGTTTTCATGGCCACCATTAAGAGTGCCTGCTTGTATCAGCCTTAGAGAACAAATTGTGTTTCTGTGAGTAACGTTATCTCTGTGTACTTGGTCAGAGCTCAGTGACTGTTACTCCCCCAGCCCATACTCATACTGTACTGGCATCATAAATTAGTTTCATTATTTGCAATCATTTGATTGTACTTATATCCCATGTGTGCCGTTATTTTAATATTTTTTATTAAGGAGGAAAAGTTGATATCAATGATGTGAAAACTGTCCTGGAAAACATGGGGATTGAGCTCAAAAACAGAGAATACAAGGAATTGGCGAAAATTCTGTCATTTGATGGTAAACATTACAAATATCAGTATAATCAAAAAGAGCTTTTAGCTCCTCTATCTGTGAGATCCTCTAAAATCCTTCTGTTTCCTGAGCTTCAGAAAATAGAAAGTCAATCTCAAAAAAATATTTTAGTGTCCATTTATACCTGAAGTGAATCCCTATACATGCAATTTTACTTTTAGATTGGAAAGCAACATCCTAATTATGATGACTCATGGGAAACAAGATCTGTATTTTGATGAATCATCATCAAGAGAAAAAGAAGTGATTAATCTAGCATTTGTGGATGGAAGAAAAGGGTTGATAGTTTACACGTGAATAAAGGCGGGCTTGGGGAGAAGGGATGTGCGTGTTGCAGAGTGCCTGTTGTGCTAAACATCCCCAGTTTTCTCTAAAATTTTTTTATAATAGAAATTTTTACTAAAAACCCTGAAAAGCCAGTTTTCCCTGAGAGTATTCTAGTGATTATGCACTTTTCTCTGTGACTTAAATTCTGCCTTTTCTTACAGATGATAACAAGGTCTTTCAAAACAGATTGCTAGAAGCTGTGAAGTCTCTTAAAGGCAATTGAGAAGCATAATGAGAATGAAGACAAATAGGGGATCCTCATAATTATAGTTTCCAAGATATTAAATTAGTGAGGGCTTCCATCTCTCATATATACTGATTGCAAATTTATGCTCCCATTGAAGAGCTAGCTTCAGTTTAGCAGCTGATCTTCTACTTTATATCTACAAAGTCTTCCACTTTTTGAAGATTTTCCCAAACTTTTCAAGAAAAGAAATATCAAATTTCACATTTGCATAGAAAAAATAGCAGAAAAGATTAATGGTTATTCAGGGATTTTAATCAGCCACAGTAAAAAACTAAACTAAGAGCTGAATCATCAAATCATGGTGTTCAGAAGTAAAGAATGTTTGCCTCCAGAGCTAGAATTCTCTTAGCATTTATTCAGTGCTATTTGAAACTTTGTATTATATGGGATGGTCCCCAAGACAAGTCTCAAGGTAGTAACCCTAATTCTAATTCCATAGTCGATTTTCTTTATAGGCATAAAGTCCTTAGTCTCTTTACCAAAATTGTTGAGTTTTTTTTTCCCCCCACATTTTAAAATAAGCATTCTTAACCCTAGTAGATATGAAAGGGGAGGGTGCCCCCCAGGTGGCACTAGTGGTAAAGAATATACCTTCCAATGCAGGAGACGTAAGAAACTTGAGTTCCATCCCTGGGTTGGGAAGATCCCCTGGAGGAGGGCACGGCAACCCACTCCAGTATTTTTGCCTGGAGAATCGCATGGACAGAGGAGCATGCAGGCTATAGTCCATGGGGTCGCAAAGAATCAGACACAACTGAAGCAACTGAGCATGCATGCCCACATATACAAAGGGGAGTCTGTGAGTAGGCGTTAAAGAATATATGACCTCCCTGAAATTATATGCCATCTTTGTGAGCACTAACATATAGTGTTCATGAAATTCACAACATGGTATGTGTCTCCAAAAGATTTAAGTTTGGGGAGTTATGTAATTTTCTTCAGGGACTGTCTCTTTCCTTAGGTAAGAAAGTCAGTGTCAACAGCTTGAGTACTATACTGGACAATATGGGAATCAGGCTTACAGATGAAGAGCTTAAGGATCTGACTCAGAATCTCCCTGTTGATGGTAAGCAAGTTTTCGGGTACTATGGCTAGATACTGGGAGAGTTTAGGCATAAACACTGTTGGCAAAAAATGTCTTAGGGAAAGGAACCTTAGGAATGGTAATCTATCCTGACAGCAATCAAGAAGCTGTAAATGTGGATACAGCATGTAAGCAGCCAGTTACCAAAATCAGCATGAAAATATTGCACTCTGTTTGTATGTCTTTATGTTCTCTCCCCATATTGTAGTCATTAACAGACAATCTTCCACATTTGGAATATATAAAGGCAGGCTCTTTAGATAATGGTACTTCTGAATTTCTTTCCATCACTAATATATATGGGTTTGAAATATTACGGAACTATAAGTAAAATTCATGTTACTGATATGACTTTTATGTTGAGATTTTCTTTCTAGTCCTCATGAAGGCGACAAAAATTAGGTAAAATAGTAGCATAGAATATATTATTCAGTAAATATACATTTGACACTTAGGATAGTGCCTGGCCCAAAACAAATGAGAACTTATGGTTTCCCATAATATCTTTCACAATATTTTATGAGTCCTTTTTATCTCAGTGTGACTTTGATCTTCTCCTACAGTTGATAAGAAGATTTCTCTGGAAACATTGATGAATAAAGTGAAAAAATTTAAAGGTAAGTTAGAATTGTTGTAAATCTATGATTTTAGTCTTTGGTATTAAATTTTGTTTTTCAGTGGTATTTCTTTCTAATGTTTACTATGAAATATGTACATGCTTCTAAGCCTGTGGGCTATCTTGGTGGCTCAGATGATAAAGAATCTGCTTGCAATTCAGAAGACCCAGGTTCAATCCCTGGACTGGGAAGATCTCCTGGAGAAGGGAATGGTTACCTACTCTTGTATTCTTAACTGAAGAATTCCATGGACAGAGGAGCCTGGTGGGTTACAGTCCATGGGGTCACAGAGAGTCAGACACAACTGAGCAACTAACACTTCCACAAGTCTCTATTGCTATTTGGAATCTGTTGTTTATGCCAAAAATATGCTTTACTTCACTAACGTTTAAATAGGCATAATCTAGAAATATATAGAAAATGGCACAGTAAAACTTTGAAATAATCAAGATAATGTATTCACCAAAATCAGCAAGCAATTTTCACCGTAACAATTAACTATTTTTGAAGTATAGATTATATATTTAAAAATCTAAGTTGTCTTAATTCGCTGATCAGAGTTTATTCTGAAAGTTGTCTTTTCCAATTTATGGAAAAGCTCTCATTAATTTGTATTATATATGGCATTTTATAAATACTGCAAGATATGCCCAGTGATTCTATGTTTAAGAATATCTTCTTTTTACTTAACTCTTCATCTTAAAATTGGAATATCATTAACCTATGTAGAAGATATTTATGACTTTGAGGCAATACCATGATACCTAAAGTTCATGTCTACCATTCCCTCTTTCGAAAGGAGAGAAGGTTGATTCTAGTGACCTGAAAAGTATCCTGGGAAACCTGGGGATTGAGCTCACAGATAAGGAAAAAGAAAAGCTGCTGGAAACACTGACAACTGATGGTGAGCCATCATAGAGGTGTTGCAGAGGCCTTCTAGGAATCTCATATTTTTGTGTCTTTAGGTCTGTGTGAAAATCTCCACCTCCATTTCTGTTTATTTTCTTTTAAAAGTGCAAAAGAAAAAAAAATTCAAGAAATTTGAGTTTTAAGTAATACAGCAACCTTGTCATTATTGTTTAGAATTTATATTGGAAATTAAGTAACCCTTCACACAAAGGTTGACCTTAGCAGTTAGTCATGTTGTTACCCCCTCAAGCCACTAATTTGCTTATATGATAAGAAGGGAAAAGAAAGAGAAAAACAGGAGATCAGTGGTAAAAAAAAAAAAGAGAGAGAGAGAGAGCGAGAAGAAGATAGGAAGCAGAAACTGAAAAGGAAGGAAAGCTATGCTCATGCTTCAGTGAGTAGACTCCTTCAGGTATTTGGATAGAAAGGCTTGTCACGAGAAAAATCTCTATTCTCTAACTTCTTTGTATTAGATAAAATAGCATAAAAATTAGAGACAAATCATTAAAATGTTATTTCTGAAATTATTTAGTTCATACAATTTTTGTGATTTCATGTTAGTTTCATCATTACATGAATTATGGCTTTTCTTATAGCTGCTGGAAAAATTCATCTCAGTAGATTGCTGAAGGGTGTGAAGTCTCTCCAAGGTGAGTAAGAAGTCCAATTAAAAATTATTTGGCTGACACTCCCCAATTTTATACCATTCAATTATGAATCCTAGCTCCTCGCTTTGATATAATTCCCTTATTTAATATTTTATTGGTCTGTTCACATTTTAGCTGATAACAGCATGTATTTTATCTTGCATGAAGTTCCACATACTCTTGCTTTTTTTTTTTTTTTGGCTTTGTACACGCTCTCCTCACCTCCCCCCCGCCCCCCACACACACAAGGTATTAGGTTGGTTATCAGCAGTCCCACTTACTTAATATTATTTTGTTATGCAGGCTTATTACTAAGACAATATTTAAATATTTTATTGACTTTATACGCTTGGACAAGTATATGTAGTTTTATATTTTTTGAAATGATAATTATACAAAAACATAAAATGCATTTTCTTTATTTTATTTTCATAGAATTTATGGTGATTGTATTAGTTAGGACTTGATTAAGAAAGCAGAATCACTGTGAGTGACATGGAATAAAGCATTTATTATAAAAATTATGTTTCATGCAATTGTGAGAGATGATGAAGTCTAGGAAAACTTTTGTTTCTGCTTCTGATGGTGGGCCCGAAGTCCTGAAATCACCATAGTCAGCAAGGCCAGCATTCAGAAAGAAAAATTAGATTGAAAGAGTTGGGGAGAACAAAATCAAACTAAAACCTCTGAGGACAAACTGTAATCTATGTCTGTCTATCCTACTTTCCCCACCACTAAGAATATGAATGACCTGTGAAAGAAACCAGTATCCTTCTCCATGGAGAAACACATCTGCCTAGCCCAAGACTAGGAAAATTTAAAGGAGATGGGGCAAAAGCCAGAATATCTGTAGGCCCAACTTCCAACTCATGCCAACAAAGTGAGCCAGGAGATCAACAGCAACATCATGAGCTGTAATGGCACCTGGAGCCCTACACTGACCTTTAGAGTGTAATAACAGCTGCTTCACTTGTGCCTCCCAAATCTTATGCAGAATTTTCTTTTACCATCAGAACTATTAGGGAAGGAAATTCATAGACATAATTTTACCTAAGATACTATGATTGGATAAAAATCTATCATCCATATATATCTCTTCTAACTCTTCTTATAATAACCATTTCTCATATAAGCAAAATTCTGCTAACCCTCTTCTCTGAAAATCTTACAAAATCTTAGCTGTCATTTCGTCCATCTCTAGGTTATATTCATTTACGTTCTAGTTGAGTCACATTCCTCCTTGACATTCTATAACTTAAACAATGATATATAAGACTAACTACTTTAGCAAATCTTTTGTAGATGGTGGGGGAACAGGGGCAGAGATAAAAGGAAAATAATTGAATAAAGTAGTCGCAAATTTATTTGTATCAAATAATATAGAAATCTTCATTATTGTGCAATCCTTTAATACCTGATCATGTGATTGTAACTGGTATTTGTATCTTTCTTCTCTCACTACCATTTCATATTGCTTTTTCCCTCACCAAGCACCTGGCTGCTCCCACCTCCTTGCCCGGTGGGTGATCCTAAATATTATTCCTGAAGAACAAGGGCCATTATTGTATTGGGTTGTTTGATTTTTAATTAACTTTAATCACAGGTGTTTTAGATTCTGCCTGCATTTATCTATATCCTCTCAGTGTAGAGTATCAGCCTAGTTTCCCTCTGATGGTCAGAATCCATCACTTCAACCAGTGAAGCCATCCCTTTATTTACTTGTTGATTCACAGCAAGAGGAAGTCAAGGTGCCTCAGATCAGGTTTTTTTCTTCCATAGTCAATTGGCAATAGGGTATTCTTTTCTTTTTCAACTTTGCTGATATTTATTTGACATGTAACAATTTGATACACTTACATATTGCCAAATCCCATCACCTCACATAATTTTTTTGGTGAGAACTTTTTTTTAATTGTTAAAATTTTTTTATTTATTTATTTTTGCCTGTGCTGGGTCTTTGTTGCTGCATGTGGGGTTTCTCTAGTTGCAGCGAGTGGGGACTACTCTCTAATTGCTATATGTGGGCTTCTCATTGTGGTGACTTCTCTTGCTGTGGAGTGTGGGCTTCAGCAGTTGTGGTGCATGGGCTTAGTTGCCTCATGGCATGTGAAATGTTCCTGATCCGAGATCGAATCTGCATCCCCTGAATTGGCAGATGGATTCTTAAACACTGGACCACTAGGGAAGTCCTGGTGAGAACTTTTAAGATCTACTCTCTTAGCAACTTTTATGTATATCATCTATCCAATACTGTCAAATATAGTCACTATGCTATATATTCTATTCCCAGAGTTTCTCTGTCTTTGATTTTAGACAGTCTTTTCATTACATCTTGAGAATATTGATTTGGTTTAGAAATTGGAGGGGATGGGGGTTCATGAATGAAATTGAATGTCCAAATCTCTCCCCAGATTTGGGAACCTCTCAGTCTTCATTTCTTGAAATGACCTTTCTACCCCCTTTTCCCTATCTACTTATGGGGCTCCAGTATTGCACAGATTGTCTTTTTTAGTGGTATCTCATAGGTCATGTAGGCTTTCTTCATTCTTTTTTATTCTTTTTTCTCCCTTAACTGGATAATTTCAAATGACCTATCTTCTATTAATACTTCATAGGTTCTCTCTTCTGCTTGATCAGGCTTCTGCTGATCTATTACATTTTTTCATTTTGTTCATTGGGTTCTCCAGGTCCAGATTTTCTGTTTGGTTCTTTTTCATAATATCTATCACTATTAAACCTCTTGTTTTGCTTTTGTATTATTTTCCTGATGTCATTGACTTATCTTTCTGTGTTTTCTTATAGCTTACTAAGCTTCCTTAAATCAACTATTTTGAAATCTTATTGGGTAGATCAGAGATGTTCATTTCTTTAGGATTGGCTACTGAAAATTTATTGTGTTCCTTTAGTGGTGTTGTGTTTCTTTGATTTTTCATGTTCTTTGAAGACTTGGGTTGCTGTCTTCACATTGAAGAAAAAGCATAACTTCTTTCAGCCTTTTATGGCTGGCTTCAGGAGAAATTAATTCATTAGAAGAGTCTGTAAAGGTTGCTGCCTCTGTGTGTAGTGTCAAGTCTAAAGTCCCTGGAAATCAGCAGAACCAGAAATTGGGAGGAAAAACTGGACACAAAGTGGATAAGAGTGAGGATAAACGAATCCACAGAGGCAGACTGGGGTCCCTATCTATCTTTTCCCACTTCCAACTCCAACAACAGTTTTTACAAAAGAAACTTGCACCCTTTGCCATGAAACTGCACGTATGGCTGACCCAGGACTCAGAGAAGCAAAAGGAGGAGATTTAGCAGGAACTGGGAGAGCTGAAAGCCCAGCTGCTTCAGGCCAACAAAGGTGAACAAACCTGTAGATTGACAAAGACAAAATGGCAAGCTGTGGTGGTGCCTGGCCCTCTAGATGACCTTTCAGAATGCAGTGGCTGCTGCTTCACTTTTGCTTCCGAAATATGCAAGTTTTTCCATGGCCACCTCTACCTCAAAACCATACAGTACTGGCAAAATGAAATACTGGCAAGGATGTGGAGAAGCAGGAATTCTCAAACACTGCTGGTAGGAATGCAAAATGGTACAGCCACTTTGGAAGACAGTTTGGTGGTTTATTATAAAACTAAACATACTCTTACCATACAACCCAGCAATCACGTTCCTTGGTATTTATCCAACAGAGATGACAACAGAGATGAAAGCCACTTTATTCATATTGCCAAGATTTAGAAGCAACCAAAATATACTTCAGTAGATGAATGGATAAGTAAACTGTGGTTACAGTTACAGTTACAGTTCAGTCGCTCAGTTGTGTCTGACTCTTTGTGACCCCATGGACTGCAGCACTCCAGGCCTCCCTGTCCATCACCAGCTCCCAGAGTGTACTCAAATTCATGTCCATTGAGTCGGTGATGCCATCCAACCACCTCATCCTCTGTCGTCCCCTTCTCCTCCCGCCTTTAATCTTTCCAAGCATCAGGTACATCTAGATAATGGAATATTTTTCAGCACTAAAAGGAAATGAGTTATTACACAATGAAAGGACATGGGGGAATCTTCAGTGCTTATTACTAAGTGAAAGAAGTCAATCTGAAAAGGCTATATGCTGTATGACTCCAACTCTATGATATTCTGAGAAAAGCAAAACCATGGAAACAATAGAAAGATCAATATTTGCCAGAAAGAGAGGGAGGAGGAGAGATGACTAGGAAGTACACAGAGGATTTTTAGGGTGGTTAAAATACTCTATATAATATTATAATGATGGATATAATATGTTATTATGATTTTGTCAAAACCAATGGAATATATGACATCAAGAGGGAATCCTAAGGTAAACTGTGGAGTTTGGATCATTATGATGTGTCAGTGTAGGTTTATCCTTAGTTAAAAAAAAAAAAGTACCACTCTGGGGAATGATGTTGTTAATGGAGGAGACTGTGCATGTATGTAGGGTAGCGGGTATATGGGAATCTCTGTACCTTCCTCTCAAAGTTTTTTTATAAACCTGAAACTACTCTAAAAAAGTAAAGTCTTTTTTAAAAAACTGTAACTTATAAATTAATAAGTAAATCCATACAGGGAAGGAAATTCTTGGAAATGTAGTCTCAACTTAGCTAAGTTGAAATCACCATGGTCAATAAAGATACTAATAATAATATTGCTTATGGAAAATCTTGGTATAATACACTTTTTTCCTGTTGCTACATTGTCTCTTTCATAAGGGGGGAAGGTTCATATAAATAACCTGGACAATACTCTAGAAAGATTTGGAATTGAGCTCACAGAAGAGGAACTTGCAAAGTTGTCAGAAGACCTACAAATTGATGGTGAGCACTGTTTTACATCTGACTCTTAAAAAATAAATTTAATTGATATGTTAGAAAGGTTGGAAAGGATTCTAATATTAAAGTCAGAATAAATCTTGGATCTATATTACAGTTCATCCAACATCAGCATCTATTTTTCCTCTCCATACCTAGAATTGCAGAGGGTGCTGTCAAAGCTCTAATACATCTATAAGAAAGCAAAAATAATAGGGACATGAAAAATTATATATAGAGAAATCAGCAGGCCCATTCTTTTGTTCATCCCTCTGTCTACCAAATTTCGTCTAAAATAAATTCAAAGATACTCATCGTAGTGCACGAGGCCTTCTCAGTCCATCTGCCTCTTTGATACCTTCTCTTATTTTTTTCCTCTTCATCTGCCTCTTTGATACCTTCTCTTATTTTTTTCCTCTTCAGACCATGTTGAACTACTGGTAGTTTCACACACAAGACATGCCTCTAGACTTTTATCTTCTCTCAATCTCTCCTCCATGTGAAGTCCTTTTTATTTGTATGTATTTTTGATGTACCCTGACTAATACATTAATATAGTTAATGCACTACCTCCTGCAGGAAGCAATCTTAGAACATACTGGGCTAGGTTAGAGATCTCTTCTCAACTGTATGTTTGTACATGAAGTAATGTTACCAGAATACTGGGCCAACTCTAGTGGTATCTTCAATGTATAATGGCTTATAATGGCTTCTAAAACACTAGGAAAAGTATACTTTTCCTGACTCAGATTCTGAAATATGAGACCTCTGTATTAATGAAGGTCACATTAATTCCATGAGATCCAAGCATTCAATAAATGGTCTTAGTTAAAAATGTTTTTAATGGAATTGTTTCCACAAAATGTATGTCTTGAATTTGTTTTCTGAACTTGTGACATTATCTTCATTGAGCTTTTTCTTGTAGCTAATGGGAAAGTTGATCTGAAAGAGGTGATGGATGGAGTAAAAGCCACTACAGGTAGGTGAGAAATAATAAATCTAAGATATTTAACATTTACTATAATTATATTTTACCATTATCTCTTTTTTTTAATTTATTTTTATTAGTTGGAGGCTAATTACTTTACATCATTGCAGTGGTTTTTGTCATACATTGAAATGAATTAGCCATGGATTTACATGTATTCCCCATCCCGGTCCCCCCTCCCACCTCCCTCTCCACCCGATCCCTCTGGGTCTTCCCAGTGCACCAGGCCCAAGCACTTGTCTCATGCACCCAACCTGGGCTGGTGATCTGTTTCACCCTAGATAATATATGTGTTTCGATGCTGTTCTCTTGAAACATCCCACCCTCACCTTCTCCCAGAGTCCACAAGTCTGTTCTATACATCGGAGTCTCTTTTTCTGTTTTGCATATAGGGTTATCGTTACCATCTTTCTAAATTCCATATATATGTGTTAGTATACTGTAATGGTCTTTATCTTTCTGGCTTACTTCGCTCTGTATAATGGGCTCCAGTTTCATCCATCTCATTAGAACTGATTCAAATGAATTCTTTTTAATGGCTGAGTAATATTCCATGGTGTATATGTACCACAGCTTCCTCATCCATTCGTCTGCTGATGGGCATCTAGGTTGCTTCCATGTCCTGGCTATTATAAACAGTGCTGCGATGAACATTGGGGTGCACGTATCTCTTTCAGATCTGGTTTCCTTGGTGTGTATGCCCAGAAGTGGGATTGCTGGGTCATATGGCAGTTCTATTTCCAGCTTTTTAAGAAATCTCCACACTGTTTTCCATAGTGGCTGTACTAATTTGCATTCCCACCAACAGTGTAAGAGGGTTCCCTTTTCTCCACACCCTCTCCAGCATTTATTGCTTGTAGACTTTTGGATAGCAGCCATCCTGACTGGCGTGTAATGGTACCTCATTGTGGTTTTGATTTGTATTTCTCTGATAATGAGTGATGTTGAGCATCTTTTCATGTGTTTGTTAGCCATCTGTATGTCTTCCTTGGAGAAATGTCTGTTCAGTTCTTTGGCCCATTTTTTGATTGGGTCATTTATTTTTCTGGAGTTGAGCTGGAGGAGTTGCTTGTATATTTTTGAGATTAATCCTTTGTCTGTTGCTTCGTTTGCTATTATTTTCTCCCAATCTGAGGGCTGTCTTTTCACCTTGCTTATAGTTTCCTTTGTTGTGCAAAAGCTTTTAAGTTTCATTAGGTCCCATTTGTTTATTTTTGCTTTTATTTCTAAAATTCTGGGATGTGGGTCATAGAGGATCCTGCTGTGATTTATGTTGGAGAGTGTTTTGCCTATGTTCTCCTCTAGGAGTTTTATAGTTTCTGGTCTTACATTTAGATCTTTAATCCATTTGTGTATGGTGTTAGAAAGTGTTCTAGTTTCATTCTTTTACAGGTGGTTGACCAGTTTTCCCAGCACCACTTGTTAAAGAGGTTGTCTTTTTTCCATTGTATATCCTTGCCTCCTTTGTCAAAGATAAGGTGACCATAGGTTCGTGGATTTATCTCTGGGCTTTCTATTCTGTTCCATTGATCTATATTTCTGTCTTTGTGCCAGTACCATACTGTCTTGATGACTGTGGCTTTGTAGTATAGTCTGAAGTCAGGCAGATTGATTCCTCCAGTTCCATTCTTCTTTCTCAGGATTACTTTGGCTATTCGAGGTTTTTTGTATTTCCATACAAATTGTGAAATTATTCGTTCTAGTTCTGTGAAAAATACCGTTGGTAGTTTGATAGGGATTGCATTGAATCTGTAGATTGCTTTGGGTAGTATAGCCATTTTGACAATATTGATTCTTCCAATCCATGAACACGGTATATTTCTCCATCTGTTTGTGTCCTCTTTGATTTCTTTCATCAGTGTTTTATAGTTTTCTATGTATAGGTCTTTTGTTTCTTTAGGTAGATATACTCCTAAGTATTTTATTCTTTTTGTTGCAATGGTGAATGGTATTGTTTCCTTAATTTCTCTTTCTGTCTTCTCATTGTTAGTGTATAGGAATGCAAGAGATTTCTGTGTGTTAATTTTATATCCTGCAACTTTACTGTATTCGTTGATTAGCTCTAGTAATTTTCTGGTAGAGTCTTTAGGATGTTCTATGTAGAGGATCATGTCATCTGCAAACAGCGAGAGTTTCACGTCTTCTTTTCCAATCTGGATTCCTTTTATTTCTTTTTCTGCTCTGATTGCTGTGGCCAAAACTTCCAAAACTATGTTGAATAATAGTGGTGAGAGTTTTACCATTATCTCTTAATTACCATGTTAGTTGTGGCACTGATCTCTTCATTTGTTAAATGTTATACTAATTGCTAGCAATTCATCTATTTTCTGGCATATTTTTAATATTAGTTTCAGGCATACTGTATAGATTCATTAAAAGTCATTACAAAATAATGGGTATAATTCCCTTGCTATAAAATGTATCCTTGTTGCTTATCTACTTTATACATAGTAGTTTGTACTTATTAATTCCATAACCCTATTATGCCCTTCCCCCGTTTCCTCTCCCCACTGATACCAACTAGTTTGTTTTCTATATCTGTGAGTCTGTTTCTGTTTTGCTATATACATTTGTTTTATTTTCTAGATTTCACTTATAAGTGATTTCATACAGTATTTGTCTTTCCTTATTTCACTAAGCATAATATTCTCTAGGTCCATTCACATTGCTACAAATGGCAGAATTTTATTCTTTTTATGGCTGAAATATTCCACTGTATATGTACCACATACTTTTTTATCTGTTCCTCTATTGATGGACATTTCGGTTACTTCCATATCTTGGCTATTGTAAATAGTGCTGCTATGAACACTTTTTAGATTTTTCCAGATGTATACCCAGGAGTGGAGTTGCTATGTATTATGATAGTTCTATATTCAGTTTTTTTTGAGGAACCTCCATATCATTTTTTAAACTCTCAATGCCAATTTGTATTCTCATCAACAGTGAACAAGTGTTTCATTTTCTCTATGTCCTCTCCAATATGTTATTTGTAGATTTTTTGATAATAACCATTCTGACAGGTATAGGTGATCTCACTGTGACTTTGATTTGCATTTTTTGAAAATAGTGATGTTGAATATCTTTTCATGTGCCTTTTAGTTATTTGTATGTGTCATTTAAGGCCACTGTTTCTTTATTGATTTTCTGTCTGGGTGATCAGTCCATTGATGTAAGTTGGCATTAAAGTCCCTTAGTATTATATTTATTATTGTCAATTTCTCCATTTATGTCCCTTGGCATTTGCTTTATGTATTTTGGTTCTCATGTATTGGGTATATATATGTTAACAAGTATAATATCCTTATTTGTATTGATCCTTTTATCATTATATGATGTCCTTCTTTGTCTTTTATTATAGGCTTTGTTTTAAAGGCTATATTGTCTGATATGAGTATTGCTACCCTGGCTTTTTTTTTCATTTCCATTTGCATAAAATATCTCTTTCCATCCCCTCACATTCAGTCTGTGTGTCATTAGCTCTGAAGTGAGTATCTTGTAAGCATCATATAGAATGGTGTTGCATTTTTAATCTAATCAACCACTCTAAGTCTTTTGATAGGAACATTAGTCAATTGACATTTGAAGTAATGTTGATAACTATGTACTTATTACCATTTTATTACTTGTTTTTCCAGTTGTCATGTAGTTCTCTCATTTCTTTTTCATTGTTTCTTCCTTTGTGATTTGATTCTTTCTTTTTTTAATTATATACTTTTGAACAGCCCACGGTTTCATTAGTGTTTCTTTTATTTTTTTAATATTTATTTATTTATTTGACCACAGCAGATCTTAGTTGTGGCACACAGGATCTTCAGTCTTTTTTGCAGCATGTGAGATCTTTAGCTGAGGCATGCAAACTCTTAGTTATGACATGTGGGATCTAGTTCCCTGACCAAGGCTCAAACCAGAGTCCTCTGTATTGTAAGCATGGAGTTTTAGCCACTGAACCACCAAGGAAGTCCTTGATGGTTTTCTTTAGTAGTGTCCTTGTGGCCTTTCATTTTAATTTTTTATGTCTGCTGTGTGCCTTTGTGGTTGCCATGGGGTTTATATATGGTGACCTATAACTATGTATGATTGAAAGTGAAAGTGAAGTCACTCAGTCGTGTCTGACTCTTTGCGACCCTGTGGACTGTAGCCCACCAGGCTCCTCCGTCCATGGGATTCTCCAGGCAAGAATACTGGAGTGGGTTGCCAGTTCCTTCTCCAGGGGATCTTCCTGACCCAGGGATCGATCCCAGGTCTCTGGCATTGTGGGCAGAGGCTTTAACCTCTGAGCCACAACTGGTCATCATTTAGGTTCAAACACATTCTTTAAAAAAAAAATCTACATCTTTAACTCTCCTCTCCCACATTTTATGTATTTGATGTCACATTTTACATCTTCGTGCTTACACCTCAATTATTTATTGTACTTACAGTTGCTTTTATAATTTTTTGTCTTTAAATCTACACACTGATTTATTTAAGTGATAAATCCTCAGTCTTCACTATATATTTGCCTTCTTTCCACTTAGGTAAAGCCCTTTTATGTTTCTTTCAGAGTAGGCTTAGTATCGATACTGGAGAAGGAAATGGCAACCCACTCCAGTATTCTTGCCTGGGAAACCCCATGGACAGAGAAGCCTGGTAGGCTACAGTCCGTGGGCTCGCAAAGAGTCGGACACGACTGAGCAACTTCACTTCACTTAGTATTGATAAACTCTTTTAGTTTTTGCTTGTCTTATAAGTTCTTAACCTCTCCTTCTATTCTAAGTGATAATCTTTCTGGGTAGACTATTGTAGATCACAGGATTTTCCCTTTCGGCATTTTGAATATAGCATGTCACTCCTCTCTGGCCTCCTAGGTTTCTGCAGAGAAATTAGCTGATAGCCTTATGGAGATTCCCTTTGTCTCTTGCTGCCTTTAAATTTCTATTTTTATATTTAACTTTTGCCATTTTAATTACAGTAAAATAGTGTGGGTTTTGGTGTGGGTCTGTTTGGGT